TGCTTCTTCCTCTTGAGAAGAAAAGTTCCATAGATCCACAGGTAAGCCATTAGCTAAAGGTCAAAGGTGTTATAAAGGATGGCCACCTGTCTAAGAAGGCTGTGCTGCTAGGCCTCATACAGACAGTAATAATCCCACAAGGACACACTGATAGCAAGCACCCCTTAAGATGAAGCACTGGAGGAACAGACAAGAACAATCAATCATGATTCAGACCATCACAGAAATGTCAATACGTAAAGACCTGTTCACTAGGAATAGAACAATATAATACTGTGCTACCAAACCTGAGAGGATTTCTAGAAACCCAGATTTATGAGACAAAACCCTTATTTCTAAAGGTCTAAAAATATTCCTAGTGCTTTCTCAACTACAAAGACTGCCTCATTTCCTGCAAATTGTTTTCCTAATTCTGTTCAAGAATATCAACTTCATTAGAAAGTTAAAGACTTAATCCTGTGTGAGGGCTTGATGAGCTCTCTGTGGGAAGAAGGAAATCAGAGATCACAGTCGCTACTGTTTTACAATGTCCTTAAGGTGGGGATGTCAATTGCTGGTGAGAAAGTCCTGCTGTAGAGATTTATAAAACAGTAAACATCACTTTAAACTCCAAGGTGTTTGCTAAAAGGAAAACTTAGTTCACTGGGGTTAGCGGCTGGGTGGTCCTATGTCTTTAACAAACATCAAACCAAATATCATCTGATTGGACTGATTTTGTATCTCAGACATAAGTCATTTAAAAGAAAGAATGCAATAAAGGCATTTGCTATAAATGTAAAATCTCATGTGTCAGACCATAAGTACTTTAATTTGTAAAAACCTACTTTCCATTCCATAGACCCCAGGAGTAAGCATTCTTTTGAATCTTAAAGACTTTATTTTTTGTGAGGCTTTCTTCCTTCGCATGAAAAGATATTTTTAGACATTTTGGCAAGTTTGATAGTAACATGTTGAATGAGTATGCTGCTACATGCTATTTTAAACATCTGCCAAAGGAAGCTGGAAGAACACTGAAGTATCATAAACAACTATAATTTTTTTGAGAGAGGAAGAAAAGGCTCAGAAAAATAAGAAAGAAAATCAACAAAATTTGGTAAAATTATAATCACTTCTCTGATTTAGTTTATTGCAGATGTAATTATACTACATCATTTTTAAAAGGGAAATGGTGTAGAAAGCAGAGTGCTTTAATTAGGAAAAGCGTTTCATGTATTTTAGGTGAAGGATTTTTCCTCTTTGGTGATTCTGTTTAATAGCTTAAGGGAAGGGACTAAATTATACAGAGAAGCAATAACAAAAGTAAAATGCACAGATTTGACTTAAATCACACAGATTTTAGGCTTATCTAGTTACTCTGTACTTTGCAGAGAGGATCTCATTTGCAAAATGAGGATGACCCTGGATAATTCCCAAGCACCTTGTCCACTCTGACAGACAGCAATTCCACTAGTACCTTTCTTTTCTTGATGGGGACAACTCCCAGTGACCATTGAGTCACATGTGAAATATTTGAGACTGACTGCCCCTCTTTAAAATAAAACAAATGATGGACAAAATAACCCGTGTCTAGGGGCGGACTGAAAGCCGAATGAATTAGTGCCGTGAATTAGGTAGTACCCACATTTAAGTAAATACAGGAGTCAGTTTGGCTCACACAGGTACTTCACACAAAAGGAGTGTCTCAGATAATGACCATCACACTTCTCTATTAGAAAGTGAGGGAACAGAAATGTTCTAAAGGCTTTTTCATGGTTCAATAGCCTCAGACAGCATGGCAGTTCAGGGTCTCCAACATTTCATTTTCAAAGAACTACAACCCACACAGTGACTAAGTCGTTAACAAGACCTGAGCTAGTTACAGGATTTCACTCACTTCTACTTCAATGATGCATGCTGGCTATAGGTGATGGTAGTTTCAGAGCTAAATTGCCTTTGCTAGCTTTTACTAAGAGTGACCTCCTCCACACTACACACTCTAATTGTAAAATAATATAATCCTACTATCACTACCAATAACATTTAAAAAGTAGAAAATTATTTCCACCAGTTGAGAGGAGACACCTAACTTCCCTGCTACTTTTTCCTCTGTTATACAGAGCAAACAAACAAACAAAAACTGGAGTGAATTTACTTCCAGTCCCAATTTTGCCATACTCCAGTTGTGTAATATCACAGATTTTTTTTTTTAATTGCCATGGCCCTTGAATTTCTCATCTCTTCAAATCAGGATCTTGCTGCACAGTCCCCGAGTACTCCAGCACATTATGCTCCAGAGATGGCAATCTCAAAACAGAGATGCACTCTTTGGCCCTGTGATGCACTGCCTTGCCAGTTCCCACATCTTCATTTTGTACTCCAGTGCTTTGCAAAACAGAGCCTGGTACCCTGGTGATTTCTAGATTCCTGGTGTGTCTGTGAGGCTCCAGCATTTTTCAGACTAGAACTTGGTGAGCTAAGAAAGGAGGCTGAGAGATGCTCAGTGTGTCTGCCCTGAAATCAGAACCACAACCATGCCCTTTCCCATTAGACACCCAGTTTAGACCCCGTGCCTCAGCTGAGCTCTCCTAGAAAGTCTGACCACTGGAGTGTGCGTCACAGAGGTAGAAGCTCACAGTGGAGCTCAATCCCTTACTGAGGCAAGTTTTTCCCCTATGGCCACTTTCCCATTTCTGACTCAGTTTGCAATTCAGAACGCCCGTGACTTGGAGCATGAATGGTTTTGAAAAAGAACTCAAGTATTAGGTGACTATAAGACAAAAGCACTTACAACATGGAAAACAGAACCCCTCTTCGGTGTTGAGCAACTTCCTCTGACTCCACTTAAGATTCCTCTGTGGCACTGAAATGTGGAAGGTGCTAACTCTCTATAAATAGTCTCATCTCATGCTATGTGAATCATGGTTGCTGACATAAAATCAACAGATTAATTATTTGACTTTGTTAGTAACAATAATAGCACAACTATCATCTTCCCCAAAAGCTCTTCCACACACACGACACCCCCGTTCTTCAGAGCTAAGCAGGCTTTGCAACAATCGGAAGTCTTTGGTGAACAAATTCACTCCTGGTGTCCTTATACTAGAAATGTCTTAGCAATTCCTACCATCTTTCTGCTAGGTTATCATGTGATACTTTAGCTAAAGGAAGTCACCAGTCAGGATCCTCGAGATGAGAACTCAGTGTGTAAACAGGAGAAGCAGATTAAATAAGCACCAAGGGAAACAATAAGCCCAGAGTATCCCTAGTTTCTAATAAGACATTAAGGAAATGGCCTCAGGAAACAATACAAAATCCTTCTTTCCCAAGCAAAAAAAAAAAAAAAAAAAAAAAAAAAGGGGGGGGGCGGGGGGAAGCCATGTAAACTGTTCATGTTCATCTACAAATCAACTTCCACAAAGATCAGTGAGTTTATCTCATCCATTCACAGTTATGACCAACACATTGCTTTTATTATCTTGTTAGCTGAGAAGGCTGAGTAGAATCAGCTCATAAATATGACATAAGTATCCCAGCTACAGGGCAACTCCACTCCAGAGACTGAGTATATGAGTCACATTGCATTTAGAGCCTTGAAGTCCCTTGCAGACCACGTTAAGTCCTGAGAGCAAGGTTCCAAAGGATCCCTGTACAAGAAAATGAGGGATTTTATACAGTTCTTTAAAATGAATATTCAATATGCGGAGATAATTCTGCTTTTCCCTTCAGTCTTCACTTTACCAAACGTACAGGCCATATTAACCCGATGTAAGGTGGAAAGACTTCGGCAAGTGCTGAATCGGAACCATCATGGATTTTGTTTACTCTTGAAACCTACCACTTTACGGACATCAGAGAGTGTGGAAATGAGACACCAATGGGATGATGAATATCACAAAAAGACAATGAAAGCCAAAGCAATGTACCCTCCCTCCCACGGCTTACTCTGGAAACCTCGACTTATTCTGAGCCCCACTTCGAATCTAACCTACACACTTCATTTGTGGAACTCAAGAGAGTGTGTGAGTCGCTAACAGGATAAAGTAGTCAACTCATCACTGGGCAGGGTCCCTTTTCAGCCCATCCTTCCTTTGGCTATCAGTACGGAGGGTGCTGTAGATTGCACCTGACTCTGTGACCACACCCTGGTCTCTCAAGGAGTGACACTGTCCTGGCTTATGGTGGGACTCGTCCCCTTGACACTGAAGGTGTTCAGTTTTCCTTCTGATAATAGAGGCATATGAGGAACCATTTGGACCCAAGGCTGCAGAGAAGCAGGGTCAACTTCAGAAAGGTTGTGCCACAGTGACGTCTGAGAAGACTTTTCTTTACACTCTCGGGGGGCAAACTGCAGATATCACATGGTTGGCTTGGTTGCTCAAAAGTGTTAGTGAGCAGAGAATGGCAATGGGACAGAAAGTTTTAAGAAGAGCCTCTGGTAACTATCAACTGGTTGGAAAGGGGCCCTACTAGAAGGAAGCACAAGAGCACGTGAGAAAACGCAAAGTTGGGAAACTGGGATGTTTAAAAAGGCAAAATACCATGTGCTTGTTGAAGGCAAAGAAAATCAAAGTAACATTAAGTTCATCTGGTATCCATTATAATTCGCAATCCTTTGCCGTGTGTGGTTATGGGGAATATAAGGAACTTTATTCATCTTCGAGTTTCTCCATAGGTAGTATGATGACTCTCTAGGTAGGTGGATGGATGGGTAGGACAATGGGTGGTAAATAAGCAAATAAATGAATCAATGAACAAACCAGTCACTGCCCTCCAGGACGTTACAAAATCTCGGAATCTAGGTGCATCCATACAAGTGGCCCTCATACTAGTTAGACTGTGGACTGGTGAAAGCAGGAAGTCTTTTGAAGGAAAATATGGGACAAGCTATTAACTGACGCAGGGTTGTTGAAAGAGGGTGGGCCAGCATGGAAGAAAGGAATTCCGACTCCCTTCCATGAGCAATTCCCAGAAGCTTTTAAGAAAGGGGATAGGTGGGTGTCAGCCTCTGGGGAGCTACTGACCTGGTCTCCGCCTCACCGGCCTCTTGCGGCCACTGCAGAAGCGCACTTTGCTGAACACCCCGAGGACGTGCCTCTCACACAGGGAGCGCCCGTCTTTGCTGGGGCTGGAGCGGCGCTTGGAGGCCGACACCCGGTCGCTGTTGGACTCCCTCGCCTGCCGCTTCTGCCGGATTAAGGAGCTGGCTATCGCTGCAGCCATAGCTGCTCAGTGCGGGCCCGAGGCCCGGGGCTCCACTGAGTCCTCGGTTTGTACTCCGCTCCGCCTGGATGAGGGAAGGACCTCAGGGGGCCTGGAGGGATAGGGCAGGCGCGGGGAGGCAGTGCTAATATTTGAGGAGGTTGCAGTATCGAAAACCTGGAGCCCACAAGGTTAGTCGGAGTCTGGGCAGTGGCAACAAAACGTGTGAAAATCCAGATGTAAACTTCCTCAACCCCTGGCGTCGGGGGCGGGGCGGTCCCAGGCCTTCTCACGAAGTAGACGTTTGCACCCCAAACTTGCACCCCCAAGGCGATCCACGTCCAAAGGACAGTGAGGAGTTTGGTCACACTGCGTTCAGGGTACCGAGTGGAAAGGGGGGAAAGATGTCCAAAATAACAAGCCGTGCCCCGGTTGGAGAGGCGCAAGCGTTGTAAGGTGTCCAAAGTATGCCTACACATACATACATAGAAAACCCGTTTACAAAGCAGAGTCTGGACCGAGGAGAGAAGCGTGTCCCCGGTTTAAAAAAAAAAGAAAAACAAAGAAAAGAAAAGAAAATACTAAAAAGTGAATAAAACGTTCCTTTAGAAAACGAGCCACCAACCGCGTCAGAGAAGAGAGGAAGGCAGCAATTCAACTCCCTGTGGCCCGCGGTTCTGGAGATTAGGAGGTCCGTCCCAGCTGGGTGAGGTCTACGGAATGCATCGCACCGGCTGCGGTTCTCCAGGGGCCGGCCTCCCCACTTCTGGAATTCCAAGAGGCGAGAAGTGGGAGCGGTTAGCTAGACTCGGGGTAGGGGCGCGGGGCGGGGGCAGCTGTTTCCAGCTGCGGTGAGTGCGCCTCTCCTCCAGCAGCACTGCAAAGAAAGCGGGAGACGAGGGAGGGGGAGGACAAGCCGGAGGGAGGGAGATCCTCGAGGGCCAAGCACCCTGGGGATCCGCGGGGTCCCGAGAGCGGGCGCTCTCGCTCTCTCTCTGCCCGCGTTCCGGCACGAGACGGGCACAGTTGGTGATTATTTAGGGAATCCTAAATCTGGAATGACTCAGTAGTTTACAGAAGCCCCTCCAAAGGCAGAGCTGCCGAAGGTGTCCTCCTCAGCTCGGCGCCCACACGCCTTTCACCGGAGCTCCCCGCCACCGTGCGCCCGGGCCGCCGCACCGAGGAGCCGGTCTCCTGCACAGGCTGCGAGCGAACCGGGCAGCAAGGGACGGGCGCCCTGGCGGGCTCGGGATCAGGTCATCGCCGCGCCGCCCGGACCCCAGGCTCGCACGCCCCAGCGGTCGGCAGCTCCCGGCCGCAGCTCAGAGAGGGGTTACCCGGCCGACGCTGGGCCGCTCGCTCGGTCCCGCGCTGCCCATCCCGGCGGCGG